TGGGCCGCCCGCCACTGCGCCGCGGCTGAGGGGAGGGGATGATGGTTGCGGGTGCGCTCACTCCGGTATGGTGGTATCCTGTTCATGTGGAACCGGCAAGAACGCGACTGAAGGGAATCATTATCTCAAACAAACGGGCAAGCCAGAGGCAGCGTCATTTCCAGCCAAAATGTTGAACAATGATAATTGAAATCTAGGACGTATTCATAGCATGCAACTATTCAGTCGATAGTTGCATGATGCTTTTCATGATGCATGATGAGGCTTTTCTAAATTGTTATTTGAGTTAGATATTTTTCATTTGGCACGTTCAGTTTTGGTGGGTTTTATCGGGTCGAAAAGAAGCAGAAAAGAAAAAAGAGTTTAAATGGCTCCAGACAAATGACCGAAAATATTTTCTTTAAAAAATGAAACTTAGCTTAACATTTATAAGCGATAATTTTGACTTTTGGAGAGGATATTGGGGAAAGATGTCATCGTGCTTATGTGTTGCAGTAGAAGGAAAGGGTTTGGTTCGTGTCTAGATAAAACCAGACCCGGGAGTGAGGCTCGAACTCACGACATTGCTTTCAGCTCACAGGTTACCCAACCTCAACGCTACGAGCACCTATCGCCCTGCGCAGCTTGCTTAGTGTTTCGGCTAGAGTTGGGCCAAAGTGTCTGACGTCTGTCAATGTCACGAGGCGAAACCCCAAGGTAAATGTCCGTCCCGGTAGCTCGGTCGGTAGAGCGTTGGCCCCATGTCAGTTGGTGACATACCAGGGAAATAAGCTAAAATTAGAGCGCTCTATTTATTGCTCCTGCCCCATGTTGAAGAGATACCCCTAAAAACGTGATCTTTTATCGGCCCTTACGCAGCAAGGCAGTAATTCTCAGACCGGTGGATAGTATCAATAGAAAGAGAATGCGTCAAAGATTAAAATGAATTAATTAAAATAACATTAAAATGTTAATTAAGCGTGGAAATTAGTCCCAAACATAAGCTAATTATTGCTTCTACCTCGGCGACGGCGCTCCCCGCAGTCAGCGGAGAAGCTAAAATAAAAGCCACCATCCTCCTCCGTAAGTCAATTTTAGAGCGGCCGAGTGGGCCGATGCGGGGCCACCAAACTGGGGTAAGACGTGGCTAGCAATTGCAAACCGCCATAGAAATCAATATCTTAAGACGAACAATATGGGATGATTATTCTGAAGCTGGAGTGAAAGCATGAGTAGATTGCAAGAAACGAAATGCATAGATTGGTTGAATTATGTACAATAGGCACAGCTCAATAGATGAAGCCATTTCTATGATGTTGACATTTGACGTAACCCTTCCTGTCCTCACCTATGACCTAGGTGAGGAGAAGTGCATTGGCAGTTACCGGCATAGTTTTTGAGCACGAGTTTAATTCGCCATCGGACCGCAATGCATGTTGCTAGGCTGCTGCAATTACAACGAACATACGAATACTGCCCTCATTTGTAGACGTTTGTTTTTTTTAAGCGGTCTTTGACGTACAAGGGGGCATACCTGTCGACAACTTGAGTTTCTCCGAATTTCAAAAACTCCCAGAATTTCAATTCCTTATGCACTGTTGTAGGTACAGCTACGTTCACAAGTTTTCGTTTCCTCCTGTTCTAAAAAGGATGATATTTGTCGATTTCGTGCGTCGCTGATAAGAGGGTGCGTTTAATAATTAGGCCCAACGCTTTCTGCATCCGCGAGTACCTTCAAAAGGGAACAACAGTTTCCATTTATTACACTATGGGACATGTGACAAAATGACCACTGGAACACGCATGAAACGGAGCTCATATTCCTAAAAATGTCTACAATCACTTCCTTTCTGACACTATTAGCAAATACCATCTCAGGTTAGGTGGTTGACAGACAGTCAATGGAGATCTGGGGAGACTGAGTGATGCCAATTCACCACTTAACTGATAATGAGGGCCGAGGGCAGAGAAACAGGCAACATGCACAACTGACAACTTGACAAGTGACAAAACACTACCAATATTGCGCAGTGCACAACATATTACAGCGGCCAGCCCCAAAAATGCTTTTGGTGGCTGATTGCAAAACAAGTCACTAATAAAATATGTCTTAGTTGCAGCTAAACACTGCACAATGATCACACTGTTCACGCATTGAGTGAGATGCCACAGGTGGTTTGAATCACACTTTGATACAACTGCAAATCTGAAGTGTTATTATGAGATTCATGCCTCCATGATCACAGCACTTTGGTTGTGGTTGGCATAACACTTGTAGTCTGCAGAGTTCCACATGAACTGCAGACACCTCATCTGGTGGTCTTCATGTTGCTCAACTTCTTCAGGAGGCAAATGTCGACCACCCAGCAGAAGCATGGTCCTGCAGAAGAGAAAGGTAATGCATAAGGTACAAACATTATCTGCTGAAACAGCCCCTTCTGTTGGCTGTTATTAAACTTTTAACATAACATAACAACATGTATTCCATGTATATTACATTTGTTGAAGTAAAATACTGCCGGCTATTTCAATAGGTACCAGAAAATGAAATTATATTGTGGCATAATTCACATGCTCAGCTATCAGTATCAAATAATAAAATAATTTAAAATTTGGCATATTCTATAAAACACATTCATAGAATATTCTACTTCACGTCACAAGGACTCACAATCTTTCTGTTGGGTGTTTGATTGACGCATTAACTAAGTTTGTCTTAGGTCTTATTATTACACAAAAAAATTCATATTGCATTATTGTATCAAAATACTGCCAGCAATAACAAAACAAGAACATGAAATGTCAATGAGCAGGCCGCCTTTCCTAAAAATGGGTTACTTTGAAAAGAATTTTAGTTTCTTTTAAGGAAAAGGAGAAATGATTATCAGGTAATTATCAGAAAACCACTCAACCAGCAAGTGGCTGTGTGGTTTCACAGCAAACATCAAGCCAAAACATATACTTACATTTATCTAACAATTGAGCCATTTGACTACCACAAGGATATGTGAGCAAAATAAGAATCCAATTATCCAATGTTGACTTCCTTGCAAAGTTTATGCCTTATTTTATGAAAACGTGTCACTAGAATATGATACTTATCATCGAATATTATTTAATTTACGATTTATTTCGATCGAAACGCACATGGAGTCACGCGCCATTTTCGTCGACGATTAGTATGATCGTGTTTCATGAAGAGATAAGGGGTTTCAATGGTCTTTCAAAGCAATAATTTGATGCAAAAATTGGTAGGAAATAATATAAAGCTGTTTCAAATGGCCATCAACCATTTAAAACACCGAAAATACTCACAACTCCGTCCCGACGACCACGCAGCACCGCGCACGCCACACTACTGGCACAATGCCAAAACTGCTGTCACAGAAGAAATGTTTTTTTCTCGATTGCAATTATGGAATTATTTATTAAACAGAAGACGATCTTTCCGAAAAACCGACTGATTTCATACACAGATGCATCGAAAATAAAAAAATCCCGGGAAATTTATTTGTATTGTTTTGTCGATTTTGACATGCTCCTAGTTTGCAGCCATATTTCGATATGTTCTACAGGGAGTTCAGAATTATTTCAGGACCAATCTTTTCCTCGTTCATTTTCCCGTCGATCATGAAATTTTTAGAGCGGAACAATTAGTTTCCAGGCGGTCCGAGCGGTTTTCGTGAGAAGGGTGCAAAAATCGGCGTCATTTTTAGAGCCTCGACACCAGCTCAACACAGGACCCTATGGGAGACGGTGAAGTAGCGGGAGCAATAAATAGAGCGCTCTAATTTTAGCTTATTTCCCTGTAGTGTCACCGACTGATGTGCCATGTGGTGAGAGCGCACGTCCCGGTTGCAAAAGTCCGGGTTCGAAACGCGCCGTGTGCTTGACGTTTTTGAGCCTCCTGACGGGTATGGTTGTGGTTAGTGGCAGGCCGCTGCCAGGCGAAGTCAGTGAGGGGACCCGCCGTGCGCCGCTATGTGCGCACGTTAAAATTTGGACGCTAAATTCTGTCATAGACCAGGACTTGCTTGGTCGGAGGGTAGAGAGCAGGGTCAACGCAACAAGCTCAGCGTAGCGGTGACGTGATTCCTTTCTTTCACAAGGTCCGGGCCAAATTTATATTAAAAAAAGGGCGAGCCGAAGTCCGAACCAGGTTGGGCCGGGTTGAACCCGGTTGGAGTGGTGTCTTGCACGCAATCATTTATCATGGTCAGACAAAACAGAGGCTTATTTCGGGTCAAATATTTTAATTAACTGATCTTATTGTTTTTAGCTTACACGTATAACTTTCAGCTTTTTTAAACTCCAGACTTCATGCACAAAAATGTGGCACTCGTCCACTTTTCCTCATCTTCTCTTAGCGACTTAATTTGACCTTACAGGCCCATCTTACCAGCAAAAAAAAAAATCACCTGCGTGATAATCATTTGCTAAAGGGCTCTCTACCCATGAAACGCCAGCCGGTCAAAAAACTGGCGAACTATACGATCTTTCTAATTTCTATTGCTTGAATTATATTCAATGAAAATTTCAGGAGACATAAATAATCGTAATCCTTATTCCTTATAGCTACTGGGTGCCCCGAGCATTCGCTAGCATTCTATTGTCAGCTGCATTACCAACGTCACATTTGCATTACTTTGGGTTCACCATAGTTTACAGTAGATGAGCCGGCCACAGCAAACCCATGCCTCATTATCCTTTCCTTCCAAGCAGCCAACTGCCAAGCTAACCGGCCGCCCGGCCCACCACCGCGATATGGAACAACGCTGGAGTGCGCCTGCGGCAGTGTCCCACCGCGCTGGGGCTGTTTGACAGGTCACCCGCACCGTGACCTCGCCACCCGCCCCACCCCACCCCCTCCGCCCACCTCCCCATCGGGCCCAGCTCGGTAGTGACCTCTCCTTGAATCTCACATGGACTCGCCTGAGGCTCAACGCCATCTAGTTGCGTCTGGAGATCCTTACTAGATCCACTGTACATACACTAAACTGACCAAACGCAATTTATTTCAGAGTGAACATCCCACTGGACAACGGACAACCTGCAGCATGACAGATGAAAAGCCTCCCCCGGAGATATGCGACGCAGATGAAGTAAGTAATTGTATATACATTTAGTACAAGTAACTATAGAATGCCTGGCCGACCAGGCATTCTATAGAATGCCTAGGTATTCTATACAGTGTCCTAGGATTGGAAAATTTGGGTGCAAAGCAGCACCCAAGTCACCATGAATTTTCCACTCTTTTTTAGCTTATTTGAGGATAATTTTCCACTCCCTAAAAAACTTTTGTCAATACATCAGCACTTAAAATAAGAAAAGAACATGTGTAAATATAGACAAAAGTGCATCCCATGTTGACATGTCTCTTGAAACCTTGATCCTCAGGGCAATCCTTAGGTACCTACTGCACTCCATCCCAGCCAAAGGCCATCCTTCAAGTCCAAGATCGTCATCATGTCAACTATGAATGGAGGGAAAACTACTGATGGAAGCTGTGCCAAAATCACTTCCTGTGATGTGTGTTGTAGAGAACAAATTTTTATATAACCATAAATTTGTGCTTGCTTATTTTTTGGCTATGACATGACAGCCTATTGATATAAGGCTGTCAGAAATAGCATGTACCTGTTGACAGACATTTAACCTGTAAGTGTATTTGGAGTTAAATAAATCCATGTTAGGGTGAGAAATTGAGGCAATATTGTCATTGTAATGATATAGGTATATGAGCCGTGGAATGTGGTTGCACTCAGTTGCACTCACCTGCCTTTCTACTGAACAGATAAAAAAAGAACTAGAATGACATGTTCCTCAATCCTCAGCAACCTACACCAATAGAAAACACAATCTAGCATTCACATACATAAAAGCAATCAAAACCATTAAACATTCATCAGATCAGCAACTTTGGATCGTTTCTCTTTTTCTTTATTATGCGTTTTATGTGTGTATGTGAATACATGTACCTTTTTACCCACTTTTACTACTGTTCAACGATTGTGACACTGGACTGAGAATAGCCACGGCTCCTGTGGATGGTCCAAAGACGTTCAATAAATAAATAAATAAATAAATACACTGACACTGCTCAACAACCAAAGTTCCAAACGCTGCATATTTTACAGTCACAAATTGTTTACATGCATTTGCCAGCTGTTGTTTGAGTGTCAAGATTTTGATTGCCATATGAAGTTTTCCCTTACATATGGGTCATTCAACGAAGGTTACCTCTACTATTTAAAAAAGAATCACAGAAGAGAAGCTGCTGCTAAATTCTATAGTTCCGAGTGGTTTATTCACAAAAACAACAATATCTCTTGAATTTCACCAGGAATCCAAAAGTTTGACTTATTCGCTCATGCAGATTACTATCTTCTATATCCCTGTCAAGCTTGAAAAGAATCTATTGTGTAGTTTGCATTTGCGGAAGGGAAGTGTGGTAATTGCTGTTAACACATGCAGCAAAATTGCAGGCACTTGGCGTGTTTGTGATGAATTCAAATAGACATTGATGACCATCATCAGAAACGGCAAACCGTTTTTTATTATTTTGACGGTTAATACTTCGAAATATTGTTGATATATACAAGAAATACGCCCGGATACCAAACACCGCAAAAAGACACCCAGGAGTGGAAAATCCACCAGCTTCAAATAACAAATTTTTCCTAAGAAAATCACTTGAATGTGAGAGAACGCATTTTTTTCTATCTGTTAGAGTGATTTGGTTGCCTTCCGTGACTTATTTTTTGCGAAAAACACAAGAACACGATCGCCACGGTCGGAGCGGCTTACCGGAGAGGGAGGGAGGGAAGAATGACCTTGAGTAACGCAAACATACAATTCTTGCGCATTTGTGTCGATTGAAGTTGGTGTGAAATCGCAAGCCGGCTTCAACAGATAAGTCGTAAAATCAGTTCCCTGCCTTGATATCTTTATAATTCTGAGTGTAAGCTTGTGTTATTTCATCTTTTAAAATTATTATCAGTCTTCGATAGTAGGGTCAGTTGTTCCGGCAATATGAGACAGAGGTATTTTATAGGCATTTCAATTTGATTGTCTTTGTACAATAGGTAGGTACCTACCAGTTCCCACAGCTAGCAGCTACCTAATAGGAATTACCTTTTTTGTATTTAGTATGAATTTTATGTAGCCATTCAGCATTGGCACATCACTTGGAACTCTCTAGCCCCCTTTGCAGGGTAAATGCCCTTTGGCCTTGTGTAGATGAAAAACAAATTGCTGAGAAATGCAGGTTTTCATTTTTAATAGCATCGTCACCAATATTAGGTGCTATGCCATACTACTAAGTCAAACCTTACATTGTCCACTCCTCAAGGTTTTTAGTTGGTTACGAAGACCAAAGTTATTAGTGACAGCAATCATAGCTTCAGGCGTCAATTGTTGTCGGCTGTGCGTGGCAGTTATGAAGCTCTATGTTATGCCTAATTTTCCACTCATTTTGCTCGTTTTTGGTCTGATTTTTCCATTCGACACCCTAGCTCAAAACCAATTCTAGGACACTGCTTCTATAGAATGCCTGACCCACCAGGGATTCTATAGAATCCCTAGGCATTCTATAGAATACCTGATTTTCAGGCATTCTATAGAATGCGTAGGAAATACACGAATCTTTCCAACACATTAGTGTATGTTGTATAAGGTTATGAGCACAGCCCGATATGTAACATTATTATTTTCTGCCAGGCTACCTTGCGGTCAGCTATTTATGTTCATTCAGTCAAATGTTCATTCAGTCATTCATGTTCATTTAGTCAAATTTTCCGGTCAGGTATTCAATCTAACCTTATTCAAATTGTATCAGGATTTAATTATGAGAGTAAAGAGTATTTATCTTAACGCTAGAAAGACGATGGTGGTAATGTCAATATCGGAAAGGCCTTTGGTAAAAAATTACACAGAAAAAAAAGTTTGACAAAATCGTCCATTTTTTTTAGGTGTTTGCCTTCTAAGGAATTGATTTAAGGTTCAAACTGGAGAAAACGGCTAAGAGCCAAAAATGGACAAAAATTGGCCCGACCTAAAATGGCTTAGCTATTTGTTTTAGATATGGCATCCTTTCGAACATTGCCAAAGAAGAACTGGATTAAAATTTCATAATTTTGACGACCTTTCGAATACCGCATGGCCCAGAAGTCAAGCTGGAAGGGGAGATCGAATAACACCTAATCCGGCTCTTGTTACGGCCGGCCCTGCGCCCGGACGTAAAATAATGAACCATTTATTCAGATTATTCCCTGACATTACAGTGTAGGTTGAGCTGTCCATGTACGAGTATATTGATAGTCGTTACACGAAGTGCTTATGACGATATAAAATGTGACCTTTTGCTATATTATTCACCTTCATTTCTAACATAAGAACAAAGCCATCGTCATTCGCAATCACTTTCGATTCAAGCCTTACGGTCCACCCTCCCAGCCAACACTCTTCTAATGCAGCTTCGTATCTGTAGCAGCATAATCTTCCGAGGGACCGTTTAAGCGACTGGTTGGCCTGTGGCTCTCCTGCGTGCCTTGCGCCGTGGCTCTCCCGTGCCAACGGGATGGATTGTATCAGTTGCTGCTTGCGGTGCACCATTTGGTGGTCGGCATAGCCCAATTTCTACCTCGCTTCCTCTCAACTCATTGCCCTGAAATGGTGTGAGGTGACGACCGGCCTAGGCCAACAAAGAAAATTAGGTAAACAAATAGCATTACTGCCACTGACCCCTAATTTTCGAAGTGTGTTTCGGGCAATCAAAATACTTATTAGGCATTCTATAGAATGCCTGGGAGCTTAAGCCAGGCATTCTATAGAATGCCTAAGCAGTCAGGGATTCTATAGAATACCTAGGGATTATATAGAATGCCTGGTCGGTCAGGCATTCTATAAAATGCCTAGGCATTCTATAGAATGCCTAATTCCACAAATTGCCTGTAACATATATAACTATACCAAAGTTTTGGTGATCACATTCGGCATGGGTGAATAAATGTTTACTTTGAAATCTGAGCTGTGTTGCAGCATTGGCGGTGGTATGCGGCAGTGGCGCAGCCAGGATTTCGTTTCGGGGGGGTCATCGCCTCCAAAGCGGGCCCCCTAGTGTGCGGGCCCCCACCCATTTTTCAGAATCTTTCCATATTTCATACGCATTCTGCTGAGCGGGCCCCTTTACCTGCATGATAACCCTGAGCGAGCGAGTTTGAATCGGAAAATTTTGATAGAACAATAGTTCGGTAATCACCCGGTGTTCAATTTCCACATGAATTGACCATGACAGAAATATGTTACTATGACGTATGAATTCGTATCTTTCGAGGCCGAAATGTGCCCCTTCTGCAATATGCATAGCATATATGCAAACTGAACTGTTGTCTGCTTCTGTCGGACAAGATTTAAGCAGTCCCACGTGCCTGTCCTAACTCAGTCATCTATTGGCTGCTGTAGTAGATTGTGCTTTATCTTCTTCATTACGTGATTTCGCTCACAAGCAGTTTTAACCCTCGCCGGCACAGGGGGAGGGGATGATGCAACCTCCCCCCCCCCCCCTAAGGTTTTTCGCGAATAACTCGGGTTAAAATCGGCCGATCGCGACCAAACTTTCAGTACCCTCGCGTTGATCACACCTACCCTAGAAATTTCATGACCCTGACCCAAATGGCCTTTGACCTGTGACCTACTTTCCGAGACCATGTTTGGCCAGAATCGCGATTCGGCGTATGCCGGCTCGCATTAGCCGCGCGTTTGCAGTCTTTTCGTGGTTTCAAGCATTCAAACATGTGAGTTGATGCTGCTCCCATGCATTAGGGTGGATGTCAAGGTCACCTGAAGGTCAGGTCAGGTCATTGACCTATGATGACCTCGGTACTTTTTCGAATTATACATGTTTCCAGGCTAGTTTTTGGAGCTGAATCCGAATTTAGCAACCATTTGAACATTTACGAAGTAGTTTTGGTGCCTTCGTAACATGTTACGAAGCTGCCAGAGGCGGCTGGCACGTGGTACTACGAATACCCGGCAGGACCCCTACTGGTTGACCTGACTGACCTGACCCGACCTGGCCCCCTTAAATGCATAAAGACTCATC